TTGCTACTGGGCTGCCTGGGCTAAATACCTGATTCATGGTATACCAGATAACCATGCAACATGAGCTGTCCATAGTAAGCTGCCCAGTGTAGCATGTAGAAAACAAAAAGGATATAGAAAGGAAGAAAAACTGGAGCTAGGTAATAATGCTCATAGTTGACATTCAGGTGACCGCAATACTGAATCTGAAATCACTTTACAAACATTGTCAGGCCAGTAGAAGTTACTAGTTTGGTCTTCTTTCGGTTACTGAGACAGGCTATGTAAGCTCTTTTCTTCTTAGAGCCTTCACACATATTGTTTCCACTGCTGGTGTGGCTCTTTCCCTGATTTTCACCGGGCTGGTTCCTTCTCATCTTTCATGTTTCAGCTTAAGTATCACCACACAGAACAGACTTCCCTGATCACATTTTCTAAAGCCATGCCCTTACCCCCACACTATTATCATCTATCATGGTACTCTGCCTTTCCCTTCTGTGCCTTGTATTACAGTTTGTTGTTATACATTTGTCTGTTTACTTGAATATTGTGTAGGTCTTCCATCAGACTGTAAATCCCACAACAAGGCAAGAATAATGTCTGTTTTTCTCACCATTGTATACCCAACCGTTGACACAGCATCTTATACACAGCAACAGTCATTAAAATTTGTGGAATAAATAAGTGCAACTGCTTGGACTCTCATTCTTTCAGCAATGGTAGTCACCCTTCTCCATCTATAAACCAAACAGCCCATATTTTGCACTGGCCTTTTTGCGCACTGATGGTGATTTGGGAGACTTACCAGAGAAATTAAAGTGCCTGAAGTTGGCAAAAATTGGGGAGTTACTCTGCGGCATTTCTTCCTAAAACTTAGACAATGGGACTATACTTCTCTATAAATGCTATACTCAAGTAAGAACATAATTCAGTATTTAACAAAGAATGCTCATCATTTCCTATGGGTAATTTTGGCCTAACATTAATTTTGACAAGTGTCAGCACTGGCTTAAAATAGGAAAACAAGAAGCAACTGAGAAATATGGTATATGTTTGTAACCAAAATTCTGGGTTGTAAATTAAGAAGGAGATGAAAGAAGAGGAGGTACAGCCTTGTCTTACTTTTTAAAAAAAATTTTTTTTTAATGTTTATTTATTTTTGAGAGAGAGAGCACAAGCGTGGAAGGGTCAGAGACAGAGAAAGAGACACAGAATCCAAATCAGGCTGCAGGCTCTGAGCTGTCAGCAAAGAGCCCGACACGGGGCTCGAACCCATGGACCGTGAGATCATGACCTGAGCTGAAGCCAGATGCTTCACCAATTAAGCCACCCAGGCGCCCCAGCCTTGTCTTACTTTTAGGCAATTACTGAAGAAGTCTCAGACTGAAACTCTGCTGTAGTCAAATGAACCTTTTACTAACTTTCTAAATGATTTTTTAACCTAACTCTAAGGTTTTAATATAATAATATTTATACCAAGGAACAAACAGAACAGCAAACAGAAAAAAAGCCCTAAGAATGTACTCACAATTGGGAACTTGTTTCACTTAACCATCCAATAGAAGGCATATTACTAAGAAAACTCCTACAACAATTTGACATCTTCAGTATACATGAAACATTCATCGCATTATGGAAACATACCTATCTCCCTAGCTATTTCCGCATACAAGTCCTGGACCGCCTCTTTTTCTCTGTGTTTTCTCTCACACAGCTTCTTCTGTTCTTTTCTGAAGATTACATCATGGGTCTCCTGGGCCTCTGTGGCAGGAAGAAAGAAGAGGGCCAAGCAAAAGGATGATATTTTCAGACTATCAAATGTCAAGAAAAATAAAACATCACTTAGTCAGCAACAAAAACCTTATTATGCAACTAGTATCCTCACTTCTGTAACCTCAGGGATTCTAATATCAGCATTAACTGCCTATTTAAATCATCTTCATGATTAGCATCTTGAGTACATTTACCAACTCTGTCAGGTTAAAAAACCTTCATGTTTTAAGTAGGAGGCTTATAATCAGTGTAATTTTCTTTAATAATGTTAAACAGAGTTTCATATTGAAGGTTAGTATTTGCCTTATCTTAGTTTACTGTTGTGTTTTAATACTGATTTACTTATTGATTTTATTTTAATTTTAGAGAAAGAGAGCATGCATGCAAGTTGGGGAGAAGGGGGGGAGGGAGAGAGAGAGAGAGACAGAGAGAGAGAGAGAGAGAGAGAGAGGGAGAGGGAGAATTTTAAGTAGGTTCTGTGCTCAGCACAGAGCCCAATGAGGTGCTCCATCCCATGACCTTGGGATCATGACCTGAGCTGAAATCAAGAGTTGGACACTTAACCAACTGAGCCACCAAGGTGCCCCAATACTGATTTACTTGTAATGAGGCTTTCTTTAGTCACAGAAATAAGTAACCATTTATATAGTGCTTCCAAGTTTAAAGATGGTATCAAATGCATTCTCATCTTTATCTCAACAATTAATGAAGGGCTAACAATATCAACTAAGTGTAAAAACATAGTACTTGAGAGGGGTGTCTAAGTGGCTCAGTCAGTTGAACACCCGACTGTTTATCTGGGCTCAGGTCATGATCTCAAGGTTCGTGAGTTCCAGCCCCACTGTGAGGTTCTGCACAGACAGTCCAGAGCCTGCTTGGGATTCTCTCTTTTTCCCTCTCTCTGCCCCTCTCCTGTGCATGCAGGTTCTCGCTCTGAAAATACATATTAAAAAAAAAAATCATACTTCAATATCCATGAAATTTTCTTTGGGGAAAATAAACCCACACCCCAAGGCAAAGGGTATACCAAAACTCTCCTCAGTTTAATGCACATGCCATTTAAAATTCATTTATTGGGGCACCTGGGTGGCTCAGTCAGGTGAGTGACCAACTCTTGATTTTGGCTCAGGTCATGGTCCCAGGGTCATGAGATCAGGCATTGTGTTGGGGTCTGCACTGAGCATGGAGCCTGCTTAAGGTTCTCTCTCTCTCTCTCTCTCTCTCTCTCCCCCCCCATCTCTCCCTCCCTCTGCCCTTCCCCTGCTCATATGTGCACTCTCTAAAAAAGAAAAAAATCATTTACTAATTTCTTTTCTTTTTCCTGAAGTGGTATTTAATAAAAACTTCAAAAATGATTATCACTCCTGTTGGCCTCTTTTAAGAATTCATTAAAAGACATTGATATTGAAGCTTTCTGACTAGCATCCTTATTTCCCTTCTATTTCTTTGACAGTAAATTCTTGGATTTTAGGTTAATACGATACTGATACAGCTGTGGTTTGGCACACTGTAATTACATAGTTACTTACAATGGTAATATTATAAGGAATCATTTAAAATTGAACATTTACTTTTTCTTAATGGTGGAAAGAAGTTTGCTTTTGTAATAACGGCGCATGGCAAGAACATGTTTAGTACAATTTACACTCTATCTTCTGTAACGTTACCCATGGGAAATGGAGTCCAACCCAAATAAATAAATAAACAACACATCATAGTGTTAGAAGTAGAATAATAGAATGAAGATTGAAAGAGATTATAAGTTTCTTTACAACACTTCACAAAAGAAACTACTAGGCTTGTCATTAAAATCACCTTGTTTTCTTTCCTTCCAAGGCCCTTAAAACATACATTAGGTTTTTCATCATAGAAAATCTGGAACATCCAGAAGAACATAAAGAATGTACATAGGTCTTAATTATCTCAAGTAATTCCATCATATAGCGATAACCACTGTTAACATTTCAGTTTATAAACTCCCAGTCTATTATATGTGTATGTGATTACATTGATATTACATACAATTTGTTTTACATATACATAATTAGCATCGTCTTGTATGCTGTTTTGGTATTTCTTTTTGTCATTATGTATCTACCTTTTCCCCATTATCCAATAGTCTTCTAAAATAATGAAAAGCATGATTCTGAGGGGGGGTGGACTGTCAAAATATATTCACAGATATGTGAACAACTAGAGGTCACTTAAAAATCAATATCTCTAAGAAAATTAATATGCATACGAGATAGTTGACTTACAAATATTTTTATTAACATAAACTTCTAAAATTCTTCTTAAATTATAAATATTATACTTTGTTCTTTGAGTTACTTAGTAAAATTCTCCTATAAATATATCTCCCACTAAGAGTTTGGTATATACTCTTTTAGTTTTAATGTGCTTTTAAATGACAAATAGTATTTGATCCTATAGATTTACTATAATTTACTCAATTCCCAATGTTGGGCATTTAAGGTATTTACAATATTTCATTATTAGCAGTAAATATATTTTGCAGATCCCTGAATGTAAATCTTTGACAAAAGATTTCAACAAATCTTTTCAACAAATCATGCTAAATTTATCACATCCTCTCCTTATATACATATCATTATAAAGTCTCATGAATTTACATTCTTAACTTCTTTGAATCTATTTCTTTATATGCAAAATTAGAGGGCTAGATTACAGTTCTAATATGCTCCAATTCTAAAAAATTTGAGTTCTAAACATAAATCCAAAATTGGGTGAAACAATTTGTGAATTCTTAGAAGAAACAGACATATAATTCATGCCTTTCAAATGAGTTCAAAGAAGGTGTGTGTGCACCTAGGTGTGTGTG